TCCATCCCAAGGCTGTTGGATATTACTCTTAGACATTTCAAATTTAATAAGATTCTCAGCAGAAAGTTGTAATGGCACAGATGACAGTGGATATTCTTCCCAACTAAGAAGCTTTAATTTTTCTGGAAGATAATCCAAATCTCTGCAAATGTTCAGCTTTGAAAACTCTCTCTGATCAGACTTGTAAACTTTAAGGAGTATTAAATCATGTATCTTTCGAAAATGACTAGCCCTCAACGTCATCCTTTTTATCTTACTCACATCCAAAGACATGCATCGAATTACCTCATTTCCCTAGTAATATCAAATCAATGGAAACACTATTATCATCACCTAAAAAAATGACCATAAATATAACAGAACGGTTAAACATATCAGCTTGCAGAAGTAGCTAAATTAATACCGCTAGATGCAATTTTTTTTTCTTTTCAAAATGCCTTACAATTGGTGTTTTTCTTGTAATAAATGTATTTCTCAAATATCATAAAGATGCAGACACACTCCTGCGTACACCCATATGTATGGGCAGATATTTATAATATAATTATAAAAGCAAAAATTCATTTAAAACACTTGGCTTGCATAAAATTTTAATTAAACAAACGCTTGAGCTGAAGACTAACGACAAGACCAATTACAAGACATACAAAAAGGAGCATCCCATGAATCTCAAGCACTAGAATTAAAGGATACGAAACTTTCAGCGGAAGACGTGCAGTGCCTCCTCCATATATTATATTTGTCGTCAATTTTCACACATTTTGTTTCAAATAACATTAAGTGATGCTCACATGTGCGTAGGCATACATCGCTTAATGAAAATTCTTCATAGACTAATTTTATCTTCTAAAATAGGAGTAACGCATATCACAAAAGTCCTAGCTAATTTTAGATTATAAATCTTCTGAAAATTAATACTCCGTCGATTCTTAATATAAGACCTATTTAACTAATTTGATTAGATTAAGAAAGTTAAATAAGTTAGTTAATTATAAAAAATATGACATGTTTTTCCTAAAATACCATAATTATCTTTCTTAATATCCTCCCTCCTTTTTTTTACTTGATTATGCTTGAGGGAGTATCAATAGGGGTAATTTAGAAAAAACTGATAAATATGATAAATAGATCTTATATTTAAAATCAAAATTAACTTAACAATGAGGTCCTATATTAAGGACCGGATGAGCAATTGTTATGTAATCATCTCTATCTTGCTCATGTCTAATGATAATCATTGAATTGCCTCATGCGCCTAGTGATCAAATTATGGGGGAAAAAACTAGCAATATGTAAAAAGTGATAAGATAATAAATATAAAAATTAAATTGTCTTCCAATAAATAATAATTTGGACGAAACAAAAACACACGTAGGCAAGCGGGGACAATCATACGAATGGGTTTAGATGCACACGTTTATACTACTCCGGGTCCTTAATATAAGACCTAATTAATTAGTTTGGAGAAATTAAAAAATTTATTAAATTACTTAATTATAGCATATGTTACATGATCTTTTTAAAATACGTATATGTATGATTAGATTATATATCAATACGTAAGTGAGGAAAATTAATTTGAAGAAAAATGATAAATATAAATATTTTAAAGTAATTTGTAACTTTCTTAATTTTTTTTAAATTCAGCAATTGAATGTTATATTAATTAAGGACCGAAGGTAGTATTTCATATAATTGCTGCTTCCTAAGGAAAAACTAGTGTATATAAAACCACCGCCATATATAACATTTTTAAAAATTTTCTTTTTATGTTCAAATTTCATAATTTGTACTTTTTTGCAATATTAAATTTTTATCGTGAAAACACGTGAGAGTATGCATGTGCAGTGCGTGAGTGTTTTTTTTTTAAAAAAAAACTATTACCTTGTCATTGTTGAAAAATGATAGATACCATTGGGCCTCCATATTTTCCGCTCTTCCATTAATCATTCAACCAGACAAAGCTAATGAATAAAGATGTGTAGTTTTTGATGTAAAAAAATAATGACTTTCCATGAAGTAAACGACCAATGGTAACAAAATATGGGTTATGGTACTATTTTCTCTTATAGTTTAATTTAGTAAAATCTATTTTATGCAATCAGATTATGCATTTTTTTAGTACAAGTTGTATGATACTCCATATATGGTAAATAATGAATAATCCCAAAAAAATTAGTTCGTAGTAGAAAATTATTTCTCTACTTTTTTATAAATAAGTTATACAAAATATACACGCGAAAAGTAACAAAAAATAGAACAAAGCAACATTAAGATTAATAATTTCTATTTTCCAAAGTTGTGAGGAAGCACTCTATGAATCACACTAAAAAAAAATATATCTTTGATGTCACACAATATAAAGGGAAATTTACCACCAGATCTCAGGTGAGAAAACCAAATATAAACAGATTTTTTTTTAAAAAAAAAAAAGTGCAAATGGCCATAGTGCCTTTTAACCACGTTGATCAGCTTGGAATGATTGATCAACCATGACTTGATCATTGACGACATTGATCAGTGGCTGGTCAAGCAAATATTTATATCTTTTTTTGTGATAACAAATATATTTTATTTTAATGTAGTTTACAATTTAAATATCATAACATTTTAACATTAACAAGCTGAGTTAATTTAGAAGTAATCATTCTACTTTCCTATAATAAAATTGCTTATTTGTCGAGCTAGTTATTATAGTCACATCACATGAAGAGTAACACATGACAGATGTGGTAACTGTGAAGCCAAGATAAGATTAACAATTTTTATGCTATAAAGTGGTGAGGAGGCCCTCCGTGAATTACATATGGAAAAAAAACAGAAAAATTAATATTTCATAAAAACATAATATTAATATGCAATAAAAAAAATAAATGAGACTGATTTAAATAATAATTTTATGACCTAAGAAATTTAAATGATAATTAATATCATCAGTAGTGGTTCACAAAGGGAACAAGTAACTTACGAGTATCAAAATAATAATTATGTGACCTGCATTTACTGCTGAAGTAAAGAAAACGACGATGTCGTGACGTCCTCTCCGAATAGTTATAAAAGACTTTGAAAAAATGACGAGGTAAAGGGGATATTGGGGAAGAGAGTTGTATTGCCAAGAGAGGCTGAATCCTCCTTCTGCAATCTTCATTATGTGATTTGTGGAATATTGAAGCTTGAGGGATGATGTTACAACCTGTACTATTATTCCCAATAATAATATCACTCTCTTTCAATGTCAGTCTCCTCAGTTATACAATATATACACGCGAAAAGTAACAAACAATAGAAAAAAGTAATATTAATATTAATAATTTCTATTTTCTAAAGTTGTGAGGAAGCGCTCTATGAATCACACTTCAATATATATATATATATATATATGGTGTCACATAATGTGAAGGGAAAATTAACATTAAATTTCAAGTGAGAAAACCAGGTATAAATAGATTTTTCAAATTCCTTTTAATACTAATAAATTCTAAGAAATTTAAGAGTAATTTTGAAAAAAAAAAGTGTAAATGACCACAGTGCCCGTTAACTACGATCAACTTGGAATGATTGGTCAGTCAAGCAAATATATTTTATTTTAATATAGTTTCCAATTTAAATATTATAAAAATTTAACATTTACAAGTTGAGTTGATTCATGAATAATCATTCTACTTCCCAATAATAAAATTGCTTAGTAAGGAAATTGTTTGTCACGCTAATTATTATATTCACATCACATGGAGAGTAACATGCACAACAAATGCAGTTATTGTGAAGCCAAAATGAGATTAACCACTTTTATGTTATAAAGTTGTGAGGAGGCCCTCCATGAATTACATATGAATAAAACAGGAAAATTAATATTTCATAAAAACATAATATTAATATGCAATTAAAAAATAAATGAGACTGATTTAAATAATAGATTTATGGCCTAGGAAATTTAAATAATAATTAATGTCTGCCAAAGTAATCCTGAAAGCCAATAACGTAGTCAGGATAATCAAGATAATTATTTGACTCGCAGGAAAAACAACAACCATGCGCATTTCCTGGCGTGCACTCAAACCAGCGGTTATAAAGGACTGAGAAAAAATTATGAGGTACCGGGGATATTGGGGAAGAAAGTTGAACAGCCAAGAGAGGCTGAATCCTTCTGCAATCTTCATTAAGTGATTTGAGGAATATTAAAACTTGAGGGATGCTGCTGCAACCTGCATTGTTATTCCCAATAATACCATCACTCTCTTTAAATGTCAGTCTCCACAGTAATGACCAGCAAGGGATGGTGTTGGGAATACGTGTTGTTATTATTAATGTGGTAGCATTCTCATTATCATCCTCATCATCATCCTCTTCTTGTTCATCTTTCATTAATAATAATGTCGTCTTTACTACTTGATCACCTTTACTACTCATTTCTCTTTCATTCTCACTAATAATCATTTCCCTCTCATCCTCATCCTCCTCTTCATCATCTTCCACACTAATCATTTCTCTATCATCCTCATCCTTTTCTTCATTATTTTCCACACCCCTTTCCCCTCTATCACCCCACACCCGCACATCAATACTAACGAAGTCTCTTTTAAAGTAATCATGATAAACATAATAGCGGTGTTGCTTGAAATAATGCCCGAACTCAATTGGGCCCTCCAACCAATCAACTCTCCTCACAAATGGAAGTAAAGTCGCCAAACTTTGCATTCCCATTCTCAAGAATTCTGCCGTCTCTACCAATGGCATTTTGACATGCTTAAATCTAACACCACACATCCTCTTGCCACATACCAAGAGTTTCATTGTCACTTTATTGAATGTCAAATCGGCAAGATCCAAAAAATTGTGCACAATCACCAACCTTGATGAACTTCTCCCTTGCGTACTGCCCCCAACATTTATCTGCATTGGCCCACAATCATATACAAATAACTGGACAATCTCTTCTGGGAGAGTTGAAGAATGGATTTGATGTAAATTCACACAACCATGAAGAGCCATCCACTGAAGCTTCGGGACTTGAGACAAATCCAGGAGTTCCATGAGATTTTTTGAATTGTCAAGCCATATTTCCTTTAGATTTGGAAATTGCTAAAGAAAACAAAGTAGCATTGTTAAATAAATTAGATAACTCCACATACGTACAATTTAATCAAGAATTTTTCTCATGCCCATTACAACAACAGTTGGACTCCCTCCAAATTGTACAATTACTGCTCAACCATCAACTGAATGATAGTAATAGAGTAAACATTTGCATTGTAAATTATTTTAGTCATTGTTTCTTAGAATCACAAGAACAAACAATTATGACATATGAGAAACTATACATACATGATCTCCTTCCCAAAGCTGATGGATATTACTCTTTGGCAAATTAAGTTCAATAAGATTCTCAGCACAAACACAATTAAACATTTGCATTGTGAATTATTTTAGTCAATGTTTGATGCCACGTCTTAGAATCACATACACCAACAAAAACATTAACATACATTTGAAAAAACGATGCGTACGTACCTGATTTCCATCCCCAAGCTGTTGGATATTACTATGAGGCATTTTTAAGTTCAATGAGATTCTTAGCACAAGATTGTAATGGCACAGATGGCAGTGGATAATGTTGCCAACTAAGAAACCTTAATTCTTCCGAAAGATAATCCAACTCTTCAAAAATATTCAACTTTGAAGGCTTTCTCTGATCAGACTTGTAAACATTAAGGAACATTAAATGACGCATCCTTCGAAAATGAGTAGCCCTCAATGTCATGCTTTCTATCTGGCTTGCATCTAATAACATGCATCGAATTGCCTCAATCCCCTGGTAATAATATCAAATCAAGGGAAACACAATTATCATTACCTGAAAAAATGACCATAAATACCATAGAACAATTAAATATATCAACTTTTAAAAATATCCAAACCGCTATATACATTTTATTCAAAATTCCTTACAATTGATGTTTTTCCCATAATAAATAAATTTCTAAAAAATCATAAATACGCAGACACACTGATGCATATACCTAGCCATATACATGTGCAGATATTTAGAATATAACTGTAAAAGTGAAAAGTTATTTATTTTTTATTTTCACATTGTGCCTCAAATAACAGCTAGTTATGCTCACATGTGCGTATGCATATATCACTAGTCACTAAGTGAAAATTCTTTGTAGACTAATTTTGTCTTTTAAAATAACACTTGTCACAAAAGTCCTAGCTAATTTTAAATTATAATTCTTCTGAAAATTTTTAATTGTTAATGTAATCCTCTTTTTCTTATTTCTGTTGTTTAATGATAAGCATTGAATTGCCTCAGTCGCCAACTGATCAAACTATGGGGAAAAAAACCCAGCAATATGTAAAAAGTGATCAGATAACCAAGAGAACAATTAAATATATTTCTTTTAGAAATTTCTTTTATGCACTTTATTCAAACAATTCATTTTATCTTGCAATAAATAAATTGGGCAAAACAAATACACACGTAGGCTGGCGGGGACAATCAAACGAAGAGCCTCACATGCACACGTTTATATTTTGTTTAAGGGTCAGTATAATTTTTTGTTCCTTAACTTTGTTGTTATTTTAATTTTAATTGCTCAAGTTTTAAATCATAAGTTTTAATTCCTCTAGTTTCTTTCCATCTAAAACATTGCTTTCTATAACTTAACAAAAACATGAATCATTTCACTACTTGAAAAATCAAAACCTATTGTTTAAAAGTCGAGAGATTAAAACCAAAATTCATGCAGACTTAAGGGACTAAAATTATATTAACTCTTCATATAACTACTATTCTTAAAGAAAAACCACTGGATACGAACCCCCCAGGGGGCATATATAAAATTTGAAAATTTTCTTTTGATGTTCAAATTTCATAATTTGTACTTTTTCGCAACATTAAATTTTTATCAAGAAAATGCGATAGTATGCATGGGCGGCGTGTGAGTATACACACAATCACTTTTATATAAACATTAAGAACGTCAACCTTGGTGGATGATTGCATAATTTATTCAAGATCGTTCGTGCTCTAAATTTTAAAAGTGTCTTATACCATACTAATCATATTCTATCTAAAAACTTAAGAAGACGAATATTTCAAAGTTTAAGATTAATGAATCACACCTAATAGAAAGACTATATATGACCCCAACCAATTTAGTTTGAAGAAATGACTTTTTTTTTTAAATAAAAAGTCTAACTCCGCATTCATTGAGACTTGCCTAAGATTTTTAGAGAATAAACTAATAAATTTTATGAAAATATGAGGACAATGAAATGAAATATCAAGAGAATAAAGAATGTAATAAAATCTGAAAAATAAATTACTACCTTGTCATTGTTGAAGAAATGATAAACATCCTCAGGTCTCCAAAGTCGAATGGGTTTTCCAGAGTTAGATATTAATTGTTGATGAGAAATTTCAAGGCCCATCTCCACTAACAGAGCATGCAATGGAATGAGGGATCTATCTTTAAGTACCTCTATGTCAATATCTGCATGTAAGGCTCTAGCACAATCTAGAGAAATCCACGGTCCTTCGTTCGGAAAAAATACTAGGTCAAGAAATGCATTCTTCTTATCGTCATCAAGTCCATCAAAACTCAACTTCAACACTTTAAAAATGTCGTTGTGAAGAGTATGATTTAGTTTTGCCAGAGCACTTTCCCATACTTCTTTTTCTCTCTCATGAAGAAAGGAACCCAGCACTTTTAGCGCTAAAGGATTTCCATGACAATAATACACTGCCCGCTCTGATAACTCCAAGTAGTTTTTGAATGGCTTATTTTGCTTAAAAGCTTTCAAACTAAAGAGATGAAGAGCATGATGGTGATCCATTGTTGGAACATGATATGTTAGAAATGCAGAAGCATTCTTAAGCACTTGCATGTCTCTAGATGTCATAATAATTCTACTTCCATCCCCAAACCAACCATATGATTTGATTAAATCTTCAGCTGCTATAAAATTGTCCACATCATCAAGTACCAGAAGAATTTTTTTCCGGTGAAGCCTTCTTCTCACAAAATTAGATCTTAAATTGTAAGTGTTAATCTCCTCATCTTTTAATAATTCTTTAAGGCATTTTTCCAGCAATTCATTCAAGCCACCATTCTTTTCCAGCAGTTGTCTCACATTTTCAACAAAGCAGGAAGCTTCAAACTCAGCTTTCAACCTGTCAAATACGGCACTAGCAAGAGTGGTTTTGCCTATACCACCCATACCCCATATTCCCACAATGCGAGCTTCACTCAGTAGCTCTTCAACTTCCTGAATTTGATGATCAATCCCAACTAGTCCTTCCACATGAAAGGACGACTTGCGATTCAATTTGCTCAAAATATCTTTGACAATCTTTTTGACAAGTTTGGCTTCAGGCCTAGCATAAATATAAATTAATCATGATTATGTTTAATGCCCAAATTTAAGGAAAAAAATATAAGAGAAGAATGAGCAGAACAAAAGCTACCTGATATGTTTTGAATCCCACCCAGATAGACTTGCTGATTTGATCAAAGCATTTTCCCACTCCTGCACTCTTTCTTGATTGCGCTTAAATCTCTGCTTGAGCTTAGCAAATCCATATCCAAATCCCCCATTCTGTTTCCTAATATCTGATGGATCTACGTTGTAGAAAATTGGGACAACAAGCCTTCCACACTTATCTTTACATTTCATAATGTGAACGAGCTCATCCATACACCAAGTTGAATAAGCATAATCTTCAGAGAAAATAATCAAAGATATCTCTGATTTCTCTATTGTTTTCAAGAGAATATCTGAGATATGATCTCCTTTGTGGAGCTTGTGATCCATAAAAGTATCAATGTTAGCTTCGCGAAGTGCGTGATAGAGATAACTTGAGAAAGTGTCACGAGTATCTTCTCCTCTAAAGCTAAGAAAGACGTCGTACTTGGTTGCAGAAGGAGCAACAATGTTATTAGAAAGAGAAGAAACCGTGGCAACCGAATCACCAACATCTTTACAACTAGACAAATCCATGAATAAATATTGGGCTATCAGCAAAGCACAAAGTGAACATTTAAAGATGTTACCTATCATGAGGTGGAGAGATTAATCTGACGGCTTTAGAAATTGCTATAGCCAGCAAAATCAAGATAGCTTCTACGAGCGTTAAAGCAAAGGTTGCATCCATGTGACTGTAATCTCTTGCTTTAACCTGAAACTTCTCACCAACCCGAAACTAACGTGATAAAGTAATATTTTTTGGCTTTAACTTCTCAGGAGGTGCCATGGTTTGGCTCTTGATTAACGTGATAAAAACATCAAACAAAAATATTTAGGAAGTGGGAACAAGTTACCGAACGATTGATCCGAAAATGAAGAGCCTGTCTTTATGGATGGAATAATGCGAAAGAAAGAATTCATCACGTGGTCAACTTACTAGTCAAGCGCACCCAACAACTTTACTGATTTGTCTAATGTTTCTTATCAACAACTCAATTTATTCTAAAAGATGCTACATATGGTAAGTAAAACTACACGTGTTGTAGGCGAATCAGGCCGTGTGTTAATTTTTTGAGAAAATTATATTAAAGTCCTACCAAAAAAAATTAAATAAAAAAATCATTTAAAATTATTATTAAATTAATTTTAACTCTAAAAACCTCTTTGTAAGAAATTTTACTAGTTTAAATACTAAATTATTCTCTCTTCTTTTTTTTTTTGGAGGTTGGACTGAATAAATTTATATATATTAAATATATGTTTGTTTTCTGTGAAAAACAAAATCGTACCAAGCAAGTGGATCATGAGAACACAGGATACGCCCTGTTCATTTATATCGATGTTTTCTTCACGCGTAACAACAAAGAGGGGAGAGATTAAGGTGAAAGGAAGAACAAGAACTTTGCTTTTTTAAAAAATAAATAAATGGGCCGTTTACTTCATTAAAAAGATTTGAATAAAATAGATGAAGACTTTAATCTATAGATCAAGTCCACCCATACCTTAGAAGGATTTGGGGCTTCGTTTTTCAGAAGTTAAAGTATAAAAAATTCTAAATGTTGAAGTTTTATTAGATCTACGACTGTAAGGTAGCTATGGAGGAGAATCAATCAACAGCCAGCGCTAGAAGAAGAAAAGAGAAGATCTTTTGCCGAATTTTTTTGCGAAAATTCAGGGGCAAAGTGCAAGGAAAACAGTAGAAGGAGCAATGGATCCAAGGGACAAAGCAAACGAAAGAGAAGAAATGAACCTGGATCGATGTGGAGGGAAGCGAAAGAAATAGCTCTCACAAACCAAGGTCTCAAAAATGGCAGCTTCAGAACTTCACAGACTTGCTTTCTCTTGCAACAAGCTCTTCAGTTCGGATTCAAATATCACCAAATGCCTCACTCACATGTATTTATCTCTTTGTTTCAGAGGCTCTTTTTCCAGTTTCCGGGAAGCTCGCGTGTCGATGGCGTTGCCTTGTTGCATTGCTGCTTCATTGTACGACCTGAACAGCTTTACAAAAAGTTTCTTCCTACATGTTCCCTTCAATTTTCTTTTTCTTTTTTTTCTTCCTTGATAAATTTAAGATAAGTCCCAGAAACAAGGAAAATTATTTTACATATATCCATATTTTCCTCAATTTTTAAAAATAAGGAGAAAGAAACTGTAGAGATAACAAATGGAAAATAGTATAGCCATCTGTAAAATGATTTTCTTTAAAAATAAAAAGGGGCAGACGTGCATACGGGGCTGTGGCTCTAATAGCTAGGCCATTGATTATGAGGGATGATTTATAAAATTAAAAAAAAAAAGATTATGAGGAATGACAATGATGAGATTTTTTCGGGAAAAAAAGTAATACTGAGAAGGCAATTCATATATATGTGTTTTGTCTTTCACCAAAGATTAAAAATAAAAACCCATTTTGCTGACATTTATATTTTTTCGGTTTTTTTTAGGTACCTATGTTTTTCGTTTAAAAAAATTGGAAAAATATATTTGCTTGAATTTTTTTTTTTCATTTCATTTTTCAAGTTTTCCCGGTTAAAATTCCATTGGAAAATGCATTGAAAGACCAAGGAGAAGATCGCACACTCTAAAATCGAAAAGGGTGGGTTTTCTATAGGTGAATAAAAAATTAAAAAACATATTTAAGCATAAGACGATTTTTTTGACCGGAAAAGCAAAAAGAATGGAGGAAATAAAAACGAAAATGACATGAACCTTTTTTTTTCCTGGAAAAAAATAGGATATGGGTCTTAACTTATAAAGAGTTGGAAATTTTCCATCTTTCATATCCCTTTTCATACGTAACGTTTTTATTTTTATCTTTCATATCCTTTTTCATACATAACGTTTTTAATGACTTTATAACTTAATGGTATTAAGATTTTTGTATATGTAAAAGATTATGAATTTGGTCTCAGCTAAAATCTCAGGTTATTAATATACTACTCCTAGTTCTAATTATAAGAGCTAGTTAACTAATTTGGGACGATTAATGAAAGAAGTTAAGTTAGTTATTTGTAATAAATAAGTGTTGTCTTTCTTAAAATATCCTAACTAATCAAGTATATTAGTTAGAACTATCATTATTAGAAGGGCTTTTTTTTAAAAAAAAAACATAAATATAAGAGACAAAATAGATTGAGGTCTTATATTTAGAATTAAAATAAAAATCAAATAACATTTTATATTAAAAATCAGACGTACTATGTTTTTTGGATTAAGGGAATAGATTGGTTATTTGAAGGCATCACTTTTTGGTACTCCTTACCTCCTATCTCCCAAGTCCTACCACTATCATTCCTGCTTCTGGGGTCAACAAGCCAAGTCAAGTCGTCCTGCGTTTGAGTTTTGTGAATTGCTAGGTTAGTTCATTGTACAACGTACATTTGTTTTCTCGCCCCAACCCTTTGCTTTTGAGGACTGCGTGTCATACTAGAAGAATTTTAAGCTCAACAATAGAATAATTATATATTAATCTGGTCTTTGATATAAAAATCAATTGACTAATTTAAATAGGTTAAAAAAATTAATTTAATTAATTATTTATAATCAATAAGTGTTATTTTTTCTAAAATATCCTTACTAATCATGTGAATTAGCCCTAAAAATTATTTAATAAAACATTTAACATATGCAACTATTACAATAACTATCTTTAAAAAATAGATAAATGTAAGAAACTAAATAAATTGAGATATTATATTTAAAATCAAATTAAAAATTGAATTTTTCAACCCAATTCAGCGTAGAAAAAGGGTGGGCATTTCATAGGTAAATAGAAAATTGAAGAATATTTAAGCATAAAAAGAATTGAGGAAACAAAAAGGCAAATGCCGCGAATATATAAGCATGGGAAAGCTTTTTGATGAAAATGGATTTTACTTTGAAAACTTCATGCCCTCCTTCTTGTTTCCCACACATCATGCGTGCCATTGAAGTCAACAAGTCAACCAGTCAAGTCGCCCCTTGCCGTGCACTGCGGTGTTGCTTTATGTACCGACCTTTTGCTTTTGGCAAAAATTACACTTGAGGGAGACGCAAAGAAGAGGAGATTAGGAGAAAGGAAAAAAGGGAAGCACCTTTTGGTATTTTTTCTATTATTTTATAATTACAATTTAAAACTCAGTTTTTGACAGCAATCATGTTAATTCAGGAACCTATTTCACTATTTCGTATATTCAAAGGTCTTCATTTGTTATTTTTTCATATAAATATTGAATTATAAGGAGTATGACATTTTTCATCTTTCATATGTTTTCACACATGTCATGTGAGTTTTTATATAAATAAAAGGTCTAAAATTTGGTGTTAGCTATGGGGGGTATTTGATGACCCTTTAAAAGTCTTTTAAAAAACATATTTTAATGCAAGTCGAGATAAAATTTTTTTTCACATATTTATTTTAATTATTTTAAAAGGTTTAATCAAAACATTCTTGCAATCTCAAACTATTAATATATTTTTTTTAATTAAAAAAATAAATGGGCTATTTTTTGGCATATATACCAGAAGCTTTTGATGAAAATGGATTTCACTTCATGAAACTTCCTGCCCCTTACCTCCATTCGGTCATTCCTGCTTTTGGAGTCAACAAGTCAAGTCATCCCGTGTTCGTCAGTTTTGTGAATTGCCAGGTGCCTTCATTGAATATTTCGCAGTTTTGTACCGCACCGCCCTTTTGCTTTGAAAAATTACCCTCTCATGGGTCCGCTTATTGTGTACCATCATTTGAGCATATGCTGGTTTGGATGTGTGCGTTTAAAAAAAAAAATACTTCAAATACATAAAGAGTCATAATTTGCATGTAATTAGAATATTCATATATAAATTATACATAATCTAACCAAAAAGAAAGTTAAGAGAGCACAAATACGACCGACTGCTAAACTTAAAACAATATAATTTAAGTGGGCGTATCTAAAAACCAAGTTCGTTAACCATTTCAAAACTTTTAACTAGATTGGTCAAAAATAGGTTTAATTACTAGTTTATTGGTTTGATCAGTCAAATTGAGTTGAGTTTTCATGCATAAATAAAAGCAATTAGAAAGAAGAAGTGGGAACTAAAGGATACTTTAATCACACTTGGGAAACTTGGTTTTTGTTTGGATTGTGTCGAAATGATTTTCTCAACATTAACTAATTAGAAGCTTTGCATTTCTGGGAATGATTTGCGCTTGTTTTGCTGGAGGGCATTTCTCTTCCTCCAAAACTTCCTTGATAGCGTCTTACAGAGAAGCAAAGTGCCCATGGCAGAGTACACGTTCCTTGATCTGCATCACTAAATTTTTATTCTCATTTCTTCTTTTAAAAAATTTTAAAACTATACATGATTAATAGTTGTTCATCCGGATGTGTTGTGAAACACAATCAAAACATTGAGACTCGCATGGCAATTGCGCTGAAGTCAAAGTTTCTTCTGCAATTTCTTACGCATTGCGACAATGGACTTGTCAACCAGAATAGGATAGCGAAGACAATGACGAGTTAAGTTTGGCCCATGATAAGGCGTTCTAAAAGAAAAGTTTGGCCCCGGTGTCTGCTCACCCCAGATAAACTTGATTTTAACACCAGAGACTTGGACTCCGATACTGTCTTTGAAAGATTACAATTTTTTTTTTTTGGTACGCAAGGAAGATATCAAAAGACAATATCAGTCCCAACATACAAAGAGTGCTAGAGACGATGCATCCATGGCCGTGGCTCTAAGCCATTCAGGGGAATGAACATAGGAGACACAAAATTCACGGCCACACCAATCTCTGGTTGGAACATCCAGACAGAATGTTATATCCTTCAGAGTTTGAAGCCCTTCACAGCGTTCAAATCCTGCAAGTGACCTCAAAATCCAAACTTCAGGAATGCTCCAACCTGTACTTCCAATAATATCACTCTTCTTTAATAACACTTGCGTCAACAATGAACAGCGAGTGACGTCGTTTCGAACACTTGTTGAAGTATTATTCACATCATCGTTGCCGCAACGTTCGTCATAATCATCATCTTCTTCTTCTTCATCATATTCATCAACCACAACATCGCTTACTCCGCTTTGTGCTATCTTTTTCACTCCCCCACTTTTCATTTTCATTTGGATCCTCTCACCAAAGAAGTGGGAATCATAGTAATGATCACAGTCAAAATGTTGCTTGAAATTACCAGACTCAGTTGGAGTCTCTGACCAATGAAGAACCCTGACAAAGGGAGGTAGAAATGCCAAACGTTGTGTCCATAATATTAACATCACATTCTCAATAGAGTCCTTGCACTCCAACATCTCTTCGAATGGCATTAACAAAAGTTTAAATTGAAAACCAGTGATAATATTGCCATCATCAGATACCAAGAGCCTCATTGTCACTTTAGTGAATGAGAAGTCGTTGAGATCAAAAAAATTGTTGACAGTCACTAACCCAGAATTTCTTCTCCCCTATTCAGAGCCACCAAAGTTTATGTGCCGTGACCTTTCGCAAGATTCTAGAGTCAAGTTGGTAAGCTTGCCCAGGACAGTGGAAGAATGGATTTGATCCAAATTTACACAACCATCTACGCCTAAGCTTTCAATATTTGGGACCCCAGATAGATCAGGAAGTGCCATGAGATGTTTGGAGTGACTTAGATCAATCTTCTTTAAATTTGGAAATTGCTGAACAGAACGAGCATTGTTAACCATAATTCACACCCCAACAAGAAAAGTAAAAACTAATTATTATCTTTAAACATAGAAACCAAAGCACTTGCTTGATCTCCATTCCAAAGTTGTTGGAGATGACTGTTTTGCATTATAAGATGAACGAGGTTCTCCGCACAAAAGCTTAATGGCAGAGACTGAAGAGGACAATCAACGCAACAGAGGAACTTCAATTCTTCAGGAAGAGAATCCAGATCTCCAAAAATATTCACTTTCGAAGGCTTTTTCCTATCTGACTTGTACAATTTAAGGAATTTTTAAGTTATACAT